CAGTGGACCCCCGCATAACGCTATTAATCCGTTCCTGAGAGCTCAATGTTATGCGAAATTATCGTTATAAGAACATAAGAAAGGAGGAACACTGCAGGAGGCCTGTTGGCCCATACTAGGCAGGTCCTTTATGCAAATTAGTTTTCCCCATAAGAAATAATGGAAATAAATTAATCCTTGCAAGACACCCAAAAGTATGAAAAAAAAAATTTACCACATGAAATATTAATTTTAATACACACAAACTTAAGAAAACATGCACAGTTACATGACACTTACCTTTATTGAAGATGTGGTGATGATTGATGGGATGGGAGGAGGGGAGACTGGATGGTTTTAGTGTTCAGAAGGGGAATCCCCTTCCATTAGGACTTGAGGTGTCAAGTCCTGCTATCTGTTTTTCATTTATCCACACCAATAACAGTCTCTCAACATCTTCTATCACTTGCGATCTCTGTTTCGAAAGCACAGTTAAACCTTTGGCAAGAACAGCTTCCTTGATTGCCGTTCTCTTGGACACAATAGAAGTGATGGTTGATTGGGGTTTACTATACAACCTGGCCAGCTCGGAGACACGCACTCCACTTTCATACTTAGCAATGATCTCTTTCTTCATCTCCATAGTAATTCTCACCCTTATTTCTGTAGGGTTGGCACTAGAAGTTTTCTTGGGACCCATGGTCACTTATTTTTCAGGTGAAATCACTATAAAAAGTCTGTAATAATACGAAATGTTCTGATTGTATGCTTGAATTACCGCGGAGGCTGGCTTGTAAACAATGCCACTGGCAGAACAAGTGAGGCTGGCTCAGGCTGCATGGACGTGTCTCGGACAAATCGCGTTGAGCGAATTTTTTAGCACTGCGAGGCAAAATTTTAACGATAAATGTATTGCTATGCGGATTTAACACTACGCGATGGCAACGTTATGCGGGGGTCCACTGTATTACATATCGAACCTTTCGAAAATAGGACCATTTTTTCAGACAAACTGTGTCCCTATTATCGAACGGGCCCCTATTTTCGGACCGCCGGGTACGGGACCTGTCTGCCGCCTGCTGTCTGCGTCCCCGCGCAGGCGCCGTGAGCAGTTTAGCTTTGTTTATACTTGAGTGAACACTAACCTGCGCTCTCATTCACGCATTTTACGATTATTTCGTTGTGTTTAGTGCTTGTGGGACTGTGAAATAAGCTGCCATGGGCCCAAAGAAACATGCTAGTGGTACCCCTGTGGTAAAGAAAGTGAGAAACACCATAGATGTGAAGAAGGAAATAATACAGAAGTATGAGAGTGGTGTGAGACTTGTTGAGCTTGCCAGGATGTATGGGAAAAACAAGTCGACCATCGGTTCTATCCTGGCAAAGAAAGAACAAATCAAGGAAACTGATGTTGTGAAAGGTGTTAATATGCTAACCAAAAAAAGACCACAAATAGTTGAAGAGGTTGAGAAGTTGTTGCTGGTGTGGATCAAGGATAGAGATTGTAGACGATAGTGTTTCAGAGACGATTATTTGCGAAAAGGCAAGGAAGTTGCATGCCGATCTGGTACAAAAAACTCCTGGAACCAGTGCTGATAGTGAATTTAAGGCCAGCAGAGGCTGGTTTGACAGATTTAAGAAGCGTAGTGGCATACACAATGTTAGACATGGTGAGGCAGCCAGTTCAGACAAACGGGTGGCTGAGAAGTTTGTACAGGAGTTTAAGGGGTACATAGACAGTGAAGAATTCAAACCTGAACAAGTGTTTAATTGTGATGAAACAGGCTTGTTTTGGAAGAAAATGCCAAAAAAGACCTTCATCACACAGGAGGAAAAGGCACTGCCAGGACACAAGCCTGTGAAAGACAGGCTTACTCTTGTTCTGTGCTAATGCTTGTGGTGATTTTAAGTGAAGCCTTTACTTGTGTATCATTCAGAAAATCCCAGCGTGTTTAAGAAATACAATGTCTTTAAGAACAAGTTATGTCTTGTGGAAAGCTAATCATAAGGCATGGGTCACAAGACAAATTTTCAAAGAGTGGGTCCATGAAGTGTTTGGCCCCAGTCCTAGTGGCATTAAAAGACAGAGAAGGGAAGTAACCCCAGAGAGGGCTTTACCTGAAGTCCTCATGGAGGGGAAATCTCCTTCCAAACACTAACCCCAACTCCCTCTCTCCTCCTCCCTATCTTCCAGATGCCATCACCAATCTTCAATAAAGGTAAGTAAAAATGTTATTTTATATGTATTACTATACATAATTAAAAACTATAGTATTTGTTTTATGTAAAACTGTAATTAATCTCTATAAAATGTATTTTTTGTGTGAATATTTTTGGGTTTCTGGAACGGATTAATTGTATTTCCATTATTTCTTATGGGAAATATTGCTTCGAATTTCAGACTTTGAATTTAGAACTAGCTCCTGTAACGGATTAAGTTCGATTTTTGAGGTTCCACTGTACTTGAATACTATTTGTCTGATGACAGACAAGCAGAATTTGCCATATGATGGTTTGTTTCTGGTCCTCATCTTATACATATTATAAGCATTCAACATGGAAATGTCCAGAAGATGGAAAAAGAGTTTTATGTACTACTTATAACTCTTGCAAACACAATCAGCAAACTCAATCTGCATGTCACATTTGTCCACTGAGTGCATATTGAGGGTGTAATCAATCACAGCTGCAGGTTTTAGAATGGGTTCATTGCTCTCTATGCTGCCTGCCAGTGTTTGTCATTTCGTTAGGGTGAACTGATGACAACAGTGTGACATCTCGTTTGTCATGCCACCAAAATGCCATGTCATTGGCAGCAAAACACCTGCACCTCACCTCTGAGTGCCAGCGTCAAACCTGGGCATATGCTTACGATTTGCATGCACTGTGCCACACACATCTGTCATGTTCACTTGCAAAAAATCACTGAGTGAGGGGCTTGTGTACCAGTTATCAGTATATAATATATGCCCCTTACCGAGGTATGGTTCTATCATTGTTCTAACCACATCACCAGAGATGCCCAATAACTTCGTGGTATTTTGCAATGTATAACTTCTAGTGTACACTATAATATCCAATACAAGACCACTGTAACAATTACAAAGCACAAACAACTTTATACCAAAGCATTTCCTCTTGCTTGGTGTGTACTGCTTGAAAGTCTTCCTTTGAACAGAATCAAAGACTTGTCAATTACAAGCTTCCTGAAGGGATAAAAATACATATTGAATTTCTTTCAGATACACACTCATTCCTAATCTTATATAACCTGTTGTTTCTGTCAGGCCTGGTTTTGTCTGAGAAGTGAAGCATACGTAATAGTAGCACAAATCAATTCACTCCCATTATATCACTGAAACCTGGGGTTGCAATCAGGCGGTCTGTTGACCAGTATGATTTCACACTGTGCTTATACACGTGTGGCATAAGCATTATTGTGGCAAAGAAAAGACATCTCAGCCACAGTTGTCTCCTTCCACCTGTGTAGCCATGAGCTTGGTGCAAGTATTGTTTGCCATGGTGTACTTGTAGTATCTGTTGCTTTCCCTGACAATAATTTCCATCAGGGGTTCATCAAAGAATAACTCGAAACATTCCAGTTCACTGGCATTGTTCCCCAGTGTACAACATGGCTGTATTCCACTTTGGCTTTCATCAAACTGGTGGGGATTTGGAACAAAATTGACAGCTTCCTGCCAATCCCAGGTGCGGTCTGCTGGTGGGTACTGGACAGTGACGGGTGGTTGTGGTTGTGGAGGCTGGTGTGGTGGGTTGGTGGAGGATGGTGGCCTTTGTTGTAGGTCAGCTGAGGCAGCGGCGTGGGTGGCAGCATGGCTCGCTGCTGGTGCCTCACCGCCGGCACCACCACCACCATGCACATTTTCCATCCCAATTGCAACACTATCATCGTCATTTTCACTGTCTGTTCCTGTTGTACAGCCACGGGATGTACTCAGAGATGTGCTCCTTCCCCTTGGAATAGCATATGGCACACTACCAGAGCGCATATATCGTCGTATATACTGACGCTTCACTGGAGAATATTGCTCTTCACTATCACTACTTTAACTGGTTTCAAGAGTTTGTAGTTCATATTCACTATCACTATCATCTCAGTGCTCACATCTGAGTCCGGGATTTGGGAAAATAGGAGTTTCCTCTTTGATTCTGGTACAGCTGAAAGTGAACAAGACGGCCCAGCAGCAGAGGTGAAAGGCTGAGGGTCGTCTGGGTTTTCCTCACTATTACCGATATATGGTCATTAGTTTCGGTCAAAACCACCAAAACCTTGAAACTCATCTTCACTGGCACTTCCATCTGTATTAGAACTGTCACTGGGGAACAGATGTGTCCCAATTCGCCAAGGAGTGAGGAGCTTCTTACCGCGAGGCATGGTAAACGTCTACTAAAATGGCATTCCCACAATGCGCCACTGGGTCCCAGATTTTTTTTCTATCGCATGCACCGACCCCCCACACCCATTCTCTCGCATCTAGGCCTACCAGCCTTTTCCCGCGAGATTTGAAGGCGCTAGAATTTATGCGTACTAGTACGTCAAGGACCCTGGCACGTAAGCTGTACTAGTACGGCCGAAACCCTGAAAGGGCTACAATCTATTACTGTAATTGTAGAGGGCAGTATAGGATGTTGATCGAGTTTGTACTCCCTTAATCATTTATCACTAGACTTGGGTCTACAAGTAGGAAGGTTCATCTTCAACTAAATTTTGGATAAAATATCCAGTTATGTTTTGCAGTGTATTGTTCCTTTACCCCAAAGCAAAACAGATGTGCTTTCATGCTTCTGGACATTTTTTTTTTCTGGATATTCTGCTGATCTGAATGTCCATAAAGATTAATTTTGTTTCAAAAAGCATTTAAAGTTCATTAGGACCATGTTCTAGGGTTGTATTTTTTTTTAACTACATATTCCAAACCAGCTGTAAATATACTGCATTATTTATGTGCATTATTTATGCACACTGTATCAGTTCCAAAAAAAAACTTGAAATATTGCAGGTATGTTGATGACAACAAGGCTCGCTTCATCGATGTACTTAGAGAAGCTGTAGCCATAAAATCTGTGTCAGCCTGGCCAGAATCTCGGGGAGAGATCAAGAAGCAGATGGAATGGGCCAAGTCCAAGTTAGAAGCCCTTGGTGCAAAATGTGAGCTGCATGATATTGGCCTCCAGGTACTGCTTTGCTTAAAAAACACGTGTTACTTCTGGATATGAATACTACACTTTACCTCTTCACTGATCCTGCTGTTTTTGTTTGCCTTGGTGAACTGCTGTTTTGTTTCACATTTGTTAGTCTCCCTTTTTCCCTCTTAGGATAGCATTTACATTTCATTGTCATTCCTTCTTTTTGTATGCTCTTTTGCATGGCTCAAGGAGGTACTCTGTACCTTTAGTGACTGAGCATTTGCTTCTCGGGACCCAGGCTAAATCCTGGACTGGGTGAGATATTTGGGAAAGTCTCCTAACACACATTGCCCTTTACCTACATATTTTGGAGTTAGCTGATTGCTGAGCTGCAGCCTGGAGAGGATTTAAAGGAATGAGCCATTTCTAAAGATATTAAATTACAAATTTAATTTTATACAGTACTGTATTCCTTTGTCATGTCTAAACCCAATGCAGATACATAATGGCATAGTTCAACATTTGGACAATCAACCCTGTCTCCCACCATGGTAAGATGACCTAAAGAAGGAAACATGATCACAATAACATTTTCTCTAGCAGTCTTTGCAGATGTGAATCTCGGTTCAAATCATTTAATTAACGTTTATTATCAAGAAACACTTACACTTCCTCATTTTTTCTCGTATTAAAAATCCTGTTAGCTCTTGTGCCTCTTGGCAATTCGATGCATATACGTATCACTATTTCTGACATTTAAAGTTTGATGTGTACAGTGTATGCCAGGTGTAATTAGCATGTGGATTGAGATGGTGGGGATTAATACTTGGTGTCCTGTAGCTCGATTGCTAGCACACTCAGCTCATACACTAAGGTTCAGGGGTTGGTCCCCAGTACAGCTGGAAACATTATACCTGGAGTATACCTGGAGAGGGTTTCGGGGGTCAAATCCCCCGCAGCCCAGTCTGTGACCTGGCCTTGTGGTGGATCAGGGCCTGATCAACCAGGCTGTTAGTGTTGACCACACACAACCCAACATACAAACCACAGCCTGGCTGGTCAGGTGCTGACTTTAGGCGCCCATCCAGCGCCTTCTTGAAGACAGCCAGGGGTCTATCAGTAATCCTCTTTATGTATGCTGGGAAGCAGTTCAACAGTCTTGGGGCCCCTGACACTATGTTGTCTTTTATCGTGCTAGTGATGCTCTTGCTTTTCACTGAGGGGATGTTGCATTGTCTGCCGAGTCTTTTGCTTTCGTAGGGAGTTATTTTCGTGTGCAAGTTTGGTACTAAGCCCTCTAGGATTTTCAAAGTGTGTATAACTGTGCATCTCTCCCACCTGCATTCTAGGGAGTACTGGTTGAGGAACTTCAAGCATTCCCATTTATTGAGGTGTTTTATTCCAGTTGTGTGTGCTGTGAAGGTTCTCTGTGCATTTTCTAGGTCAGCAATTTCACCTGCCTTGAAAGGTGCTGTTAGTATGCAGCAATATGTATTGCAGCCAAGGTAGAACAAGTGACCTGAGGAGTGTAATTATGGGCTTGGCATCCCAAGTTTTGAAGGTTCTCATTATCCATCCTGTCATTTTTCTAGCAGATGTAATTGATACAATGTTGTGATCTTTGAAAGTGAGATCCTCTGACATCACTCCCAGGTCTTTTATGTTAGTTTTTTGCTGTATTGTGTGGTTGGAATTTGTTGTATACTCAGATATACTTTTAATTTCCTCAAGTTTTCCATATTGGAGTAATTGAAATTTCTCATCATTGAACTTCATAGTGTTTTCTGGGGCCCATTTAAAGATTTGGTTGATGTCCGCCTGGAGTCTTGGTGTCATGCAGATTTGGGTGTCATCTACAAAGACAATGTTGTGGCTTACATTAGGATGCATTTCCAAAAGACAGTGCTGTCCATGTTCACCCATCAGTAAAATGGGTACCTGGATACCCACCTGTTAATGTCATTGATGTCGGCTAGGCCTATATACCTTGTACTTTTAGAAAAAGGTATTATATTATTGCTTAGAATAAATATACAGTGTTTATCTTTCAGACTCTGCCAGATGGGAAAAAGATCTCTCTACCACCTGTGTTACTGGGCCAGCTGGGCTCTGATCCCAAGAGAAAAACTGTGTGTGTTTATGGCCATCTTGATGTGCAGCCAGCATTGAAGGTGAAACATTTCTGCTGATCATAGTACCAATAATGTAGTATTATAATAATGAGAACTTTCTTTTAATATCAGATATACTGTACTTTCTACTAGCATAGTAATTACCTTTTTGCTGTAACTGTTTCTCGTATTTCAAAATTGCAAGTACTCAATTATGCGAATGTTTCTTGACTACTTGTTTATTTGGCAGTCTCTTAAAAATTTGGAGCTAATGTGACTGTTGTTGTCTCATGAAGTAATTTTTCTTTTTAAATGCACATTGACTTAACTTTGGCTAATATTTCTTAAGTTGGCATATATTTAGTAAAGGTTAGTTGGTACTTCTAACTCTTATGTTGGATGAAAAGTGTTTTTTTTTTTTTTCTCTTTGTCATAAAAGATATGATAGTGGATTTTAAGTTAATTGTTTCTGGGAATCATACTAATCAGTGTCAGGATTGAATGCATGATAAATTGTAGTGACTTTTTGTAGGAGCATTGATCCAGGTTCTTTATTTAGAGTACAGTAATACTCCAGTTTTCATCCTTAATCCATTCCAAAAGGCCAGCCGAAATCCAGAATGGACGAAAACCAAAGTAATATTTCCCACAAGAAGTACAGTGAACCCTCGGGTAACAATACCATCAGATAGCGATAAAATCGGAAACCAGTGCGTTTTTGCATAAAAATACTGGCTTGGCCAACGATGAAAAACTCGGTTAAGGATATTTGTCCCGAACGTGTGCGTGCAGCCTGAGCCCATGTACGTACAAGGTAGTGTGCCATTGTTTACAAGCCAGGGAGAATGATTCCACGCATACATACAATATATTTTGTAATATTCCATTGTTTTTATTGCTTGTAACTGCTAAATAATCCACCATGGGCCCAAAGTTTCTAGTGCCAGCCTTGTGATAAAGAAGGAAAGAAACACGATAAAATTCAAGAAAAAACTTGTTGCAAAGTACCAAAGTGGAGGAGGAAGAGAGGGGTGAATGTGCCTTCTGCAGTGATTCTACAATATGTACGATACTAAAGCAGCAGATATCGATAAAGGCTATAGTGCCAGCCAGCGATAAAGTGTAGAATTAACAGTGTAGCAAGTAAGTTAAATGAGTAAGCGATAGAAAAATGACACGAAAGTAACTCCAATGTTGTATGTGTATCGGGCCACTGAACATACACCAGCCTCCTATGCATCTTCCACCACTCTAAATCTATAGCAGCATCTCCTCCATCAAACTAATTAAACTAACATCTCCTCCAAGGTAAGTGTAAATATAAAAGGACCCCAATGGAAATTCGTAAGTCACTCTGACTTTTTTGGGTTATCTTAGGTACTTTACACACATGCTGCTATGTATGATGATCAATGTACTCGCCTAATTGTGGTTGCAGGGGTCGAGACTCGGCTCCTGGCCCCGCCTCTTCACCGAGTGCTACTAGGTCCTCTCTCTCCCTGCTCCATGAGCTTTATCATACCTCATCTTAAAGCTATGGCCAGGGCGCAGAGAGTAGATATACAGTGGACCCCCGGTTTATGATCAGCTCCCAATGTGACCACTTGTGTAACTATATTTATGTAAGTGCGTTTGTATGTGTATGTTTGGGGGTCTGAAATGGACTAATCTAATTCACAATATTCCTTATGGGAACAAATTCGGTCAGTACTGGCACCTGAACATACTTTTGGAATGAAATACGTAATACCGTAAACCGGGAGTCCACTGTACTCTCGAAATTCTTCGAAGGTATATCAAAGGTATTGGCAGTTTGGAGGGATATGTTGTGTATCTTTATATGTGTATGCTTCTAAACTGTTGTATTCTGAGCACCCCTGCAAAAACAGTGATAATGTGAGTGTGGTGAAAGTGTTGAATGATGAAAGTATTTTCTTTTTGGGGATTTTTTCTTTTTTGGGTCACCCTGCCTCGGTGGGAGACAGCCGACTTGTTGACAAAAAAAAAAAAAAAAAAAAAAAAACTTCCTGCCTCCACTACCTCACTTGCTAGGCTATTCCTCTTCCTGACTACTCTGACTGAAGAAATACTTCCTAACATCCCTTTTGAGTCATCTGGGTTTTCAACTTCCAATTGTGACCCCTTGTTTCTGTGTCCCCTGTTTGGAACATCCTGTCTGTGTACCTTGTCTATTCCATGCAGTATTTTGTACGTCATTATCTTATCTCCTCTAACCCTCCTGTCCTCCAGTGTCTTCAGGCCGATTTCCCTTAACCTTTCTTCATAGGACATTTCCCTTAGCTCTGGAACTAACCTTGTCACAAACCTTTGCACTTTATCTAATTTCTTGATGTGCTTGATCAAGTGTGGGTTCCAAGCAGGTGCTGCATACCCCAGTATGGGCCTGACGTACACGGTGCACAGTGTCTTGAACAATTCCTTACAAAGGTATCGGAGCGCTGTTTTCAGGTTTGCCAGGCACCCATATGCTGCAGTAGTTATCTGGTCAATGTGTGCTTCCGGAGACGTGCTTGGTGTTATACTCACCCCAAGATCTTTCTCCTTGAGCGAGGTTTGCAGTCTTTGGCGACCTAGCCTATACTCCGTCTGCGGTCTTCTGTGCCCTTCCCCGATCTTCATGACTTTGCATTTGGCGGGGTTAAATTCGAGAAGCCAGTTGCTGGACCAGGTGTCCAGTCTCTTTGAAGTCCTGCCTGAAGTATGTAACTGTATTTGTGTATACCTGAATAAGCTTACTTATTTATAAATTAAAATGTAAATATATCTTTTTTATAAATTACGTTCATATGTTTGTGGATGGTGGTGGCAGAAGCCTGTATGGCTTCTCTCAGTGGCCATTGTAAACCCAACAACAACAACAATTCCATCACTTATCCTCACATACATTGACATAGTATTTTATTCATTCTAGAGTATATATGATGTTTCTATGTTACTAATATTGTTTGTCATATTAGATGAATTGTGATAGATAAATAAGCCATAGAGATGATATTAGCATCACATTGAAGCATGATAAACTCACCTTCCTCTTGCCTCCTGCATGTCTACTACACTCCCAGCATGCCTGCTACATTCCCTGCATGTCTGCTACACTCCCAGCATACCTGCTACATTCCGTATGTCTGCTACACTCCCAGCATGTCTGCTGCACTCCCTGCATGTCTGCTGCACTTCATCAAACTAACTACGTAATTAAACTAACATCTCCTCCAAGGCGAGTGCAAATATTTCTTATTTATAAATTAAAATTAAATATTTCTTATTTATAAATTCTTCTTTCAACAAACCGGCCATATCCCACCAAGGCAGGGTGGCCCAAAAAGAAAAACAGAAGTTTCTCTTTTTAAATTTAGTAATTTATACAGGAGAAGGGGTCGCTAGCTCCTTGCTCCCGGCATTTTAGTCGCCTCTTATGACACGCATGGCTTACAGAGGAAGAATTCTATTCCACTTACCCATGGAGATGAGAGGAAATAGACAAGAACAAGAACTAGAAAGAAAATAGAAGAAAACCCAGAGGGGTATGTATATATATGCTTGTACATGTATGTGTAGTGTGACCTTAGTGTAAGTAGAAGTAGCAAGATGTATCTGAAATCTTGCTTGTTTATGAGACAGACAAAAGACACCAGCCATCCTACCATCATGTAAAACAATTACAGGCTTTCGTTTTACACTCACTTGGCAGCATATGTTTGGAGAACCTAGGATAACCCAAAAAAGTCACTTATTTCCATTAGGGTCCCTGTACCCTGTACCATGTGGTACATTGTACCATATGGTACCACTACCATATGGTACCATTGTACCATATGGCACAATGGTACCATATGGTTCAAAACCATAGAATTCCTCTTCATCTCCACTTCCATCAGTCGTAGAACTGTAAGTTGTGAAGTCAGAATTCGCCCGGAGAGTGAGTGGGGAGTGAGAGCTTCCTTGCCGCCAGGCACAATGGACAAAGCTACTTTGCCGGCATTCCCACAATGCCATGCAGGCGTCCAGATTTTTTCTATGGTGTGCACACTGACCACCCAGACCCATTCTCTCAGATGTACGCCTACCAGCCTTCTTGCGCTAAATTTGACGCCGCTAGAATTTTGGCGTAGATCTACGGTTTGGACCCTGAACGTAAAGCCGTAGATCTACGGGACAGACCCTGAAAGGGTTAATCTTTGAAGAAGGCACCTTCCTCCATCTCTCTTCCTCTTCCTCTGCAACAGTTTCCTGAGCTGTGATCTGTTGCTGTTGCAGATTAAGCTCTTGCAGCTCTTCAGTGGTTAGCTCTTCCCTGTGGTCCTCCAACTCTTCCACATCCTCACCACTCGCATCCAACCCCAGGGACATCCCCAATGCCACAATAGTTTCCACAACTGGCATAGGCTCCTTAGGGTCAGCCACAAACCCTTCAAAATTCCTCTTCTACACAATCTGGCCACAAATTTCTCCAAGCAGAGTTCAAAGTCCTGGAAGTCACTCCCTCCCAAGACTTGCCTATAAGGTTTATGCAATGGAGGATATTAAAGTGATCTTTCCAGAACTCTCTTAGGGTCAATTCAGTGTGTGAGGTCACTTCAAAGCACTTTTGAAACACTGCTTTTGTGTAGAGTTTTTTGAAGTTTGAAATGACCTGCTGGTCCATGGGCTGGAGGAGAGGAGTTGTATTAGGGGGAAAGAACTTCACCGTGATGAAACTAAACTCCTCCACTATTTGCTCTTCCAAGTCTGGAGGATGAGCAGGAGCATTGTCCATTACCAGGAGGCACTTGAGTGACAGTTTATTTTCCAGGAGGTATTTCTTCACACTGGGGCCAAACACTTCATTAAACCAGTCTAGGAAAATATCCCTTGTGACCCATGCCTTACTGTTAGCCTTCCACATCACACACAAATTACTCTTGGTGACACTGTTTTTCTTGAACACACTGGGATTTTCAGTGATGATACACCAGTAAAGGCTTTACTTTAAAATCCCCACTAGCATTACTACAAAACATGAGAGTAAGCCTATCCTTCATAGGCTTGTGTCCTGGGAG